GAAGGAAGGAAGGAAGGAAGGAAGGAAGGAAGGAAGGAAGGAAGGAAGGAAGGAAGGAAGTATTGGGAGTTGACTGATTACAGTGTCTAAATAAATAAACCAAAGGTTTGGAGTGGTTGTCCAAAGTTTTGCAGCTCAGATATGGTAGCCCTAAATTAGACAATGAGTCATCATAAGGGAGGGAACTCATCTCATGCCAAGGGAGGGCATTCCTTCTGTCCCCCCCCAACTGGAATGTCAGAGCTGAGGGGGCTCCAAATAAGATGCCACTCTTCTGGTTTTACTCTCCCAATTCTCTATCCTGGTGTGCTCTCCATTCCTGTCCCCCACTTTATCACATGCTTGTCAGGCACTAACATTCTCACTCCCCACCCCCTTTCCTTTTAGCTTTTGAAAGTCTAGATGCACTGCAGACGCACTGCGTGCAAAGTTGAGGCCTCTCGGAAAGGGAGGAGATAGGAAGAGAAAGACGGGGGGTAAGCATGACTTGACTTTTGAAAAAGTGTTTGCAAAGCTGGCTCCTTCCTGTTGCAGATGGAACAGTGAGGGGGAGACGATGACGCCCTTATATTACGTTATATGCTTCTAATTTAAGAGCCAAGGAAGAGGAGGACCTCCCCCTCATCCCAGTACAAGAGGGCTTATTCAGGCGTTTAGGCTGCATGGTGAACATGGCACCCAAGGCAAGTGTGTGACAGGGATAGTCAAACCAGTTCCTCAGGAGAGACAAAAGGGCATGGGAACCCCAAACTTACTCCCTCCTCTATTTCTCATTGATCCAGTTCAGCTTTTCCTTTGGTTTTTAATGGAGTGTAACAGCACTTCATCCCCCTGTGGGCTGTTTGTGTATTGGTAGCCGTCTGTGTTTGTGTATTAGGAATTTCCTGTGTCGCTCCTGCTTGTCCTGGTTTGATTAGATACGTGACTAGTTAAAAGTTGAACTATAGTACCCTTTGCCTCATTATAATAGTAAAAAAACAACACACCCCTAGGAGTAAACATGAGATGCTAATGAGCCCCGCTCATGATTTATTATGGGGTACATAGTTGTATGCACGTGCGTGATATAATACACCTGTGGATTTGTTTCAGCCAATAAGAATTGTGATGAATGTTGCCTGCTTAGTGAAATGTATAAAAACCTTTGGACAACGCCCCTTTGCACGCTCGATTTGGATTTTGGTCCCGAGTGCGTCTCTTTGCTTCTGTACAGAAATAAAGTGTGAAAGCCTTCCCTCTGCTCTGTGCGTAATTTGGCCCTCTCTTGCACTGGGTAAAAACGTGTCCCAAACAGTTGGTCACCCCGTGGCCAACACACCATTGGTGTCGAGGTTTTTTATTGTTGCCCCAAGACAAGATAGTGAAAGGACTGTTGGGTAAACATTGTTAAGTCCTTTTCACAAAATCTTAGAACATCAGTTGAAAAGGACTTTATTGAGATAAATAGTTCTAGTTCAACCCCCCGCTCAGTGCAGGAATTCTCTTAACATCCCTGACAGCCAGCCATCCAACTCCCAGCTGAAAATATTCAACAACCAGGACCTCTACTTTTCCGTGGAGACTGTTTCATTGCTTGAAGCTATTACCCACAGGAAGTTCCTCCTAATATTCATCCTGAACCTCTTCTCATTTCACCTGTTGGTCCTCTTTGGTTGTTGCTCTCACAGGCAATGGACTGAGACTTCCAAAGTGGGTGTTAATTACCGAATGAGACATTCTCTGGGGCAGGTACCTGCAGGGCGTAGCTTCTGAGACTGGAGGAGAAAAAAGCTTTGAATTTGGAGACAGAGTACCAATAGAGGTGAATATGTGTAGCTCAGGGTTGAACTGTGGAGTCTTTGGGGTTCTCTGAGCTTGTGGAGACAGAGTACCAATAGAGGTGAATATGTGTAGCTCAGGGTTGAACTGTGGAGTCTTTGGGGTTC